GATTGTTTATTGTGATACTTTATTTCAAATTCCTAATTCATAAAAATATGTTCCTCATATGTTTTCACACTATTGGCCAATCTGGGTGAAATTTCACAGGCTTTGGAGGAAGTAAATATTATAAGTTTAGACCCCAAAATATGCAAATTAGCCAAATAACGGACTAATTTGCATATTTGAAATCTGATAATGATTATGATAATATATTAATTAAATATATAATCATTTCAATATTACTACTCTATATTAATCCTTATAAATACATGAAATATTAAATCAACGTTGGTCAATGTTCTCCCCTACAAAAAAAAAGATTGAATCAATCATTAAGAACTTTAAGAGAGGGATATATAATAGGTTATTTATGGTCAATGAAAAATTTAGCCTAATACCTAACAAATTTACATATTTTGTGATTGGAACTAATAATAATAATATATTAATTGATTGTTAGTGAATCAAAGCAATAATAGAATCAAAATAATAATAAAGATTTGTTAAGAACAATATTCGAGGGCAAAACTTTGTATATACACTCATGGACAAAAACAAAAGTGAAAAACCTTTTACGAGTATATCGCCGATTGTCTATTTTTTTTTTTTTAAGGAAACAGAGGCAATTTTGTTCACAATTGGTTATCTCGTGCGTCTTCAATAAAGGTCACTGTAATATCTTTCAGAGTTTTTGGCCAGATATACATGCTAAAAGGTACAAATTCCTTAAGTTTTGTCCATGAGTTTATATTGGTTATCTCGTGTGTCTTCAATAAAGGTCAGTGTAATATCTTTCAGAGTTATTGTCCCGATATACATGGTAAAATGTACAACTTCCTTAAGTTTTGTCCATCAAAATGTATTTTTAACTCGAATAAATACAATAAGCCGAAACCACATAAAGGTCAAAAACTAAAATTTAACAAAAACATTAATTTAATTAGTCTTCTATTTACATTCCAATCAATAATAGAAAAAGGCCTAATTAATAATAATAGTAAATACAATACAAATATTTTGAAAAATGAAATAAATCACAAACCATTTTCAGGAAAATTCACTTAGCAAATCGATTAAGTTTAATTATGTTTTTCTCTAACTTTTTTAATTTCAATTATAAAAAATAAAACGAAATCCTTTTCAATATTTCAACCATTTCATATGGGGGTTTGTGCACGAGTGGTATATGAGCTGTCGTTTTTGGATAGCTACTACCCAGGATCGAATCCCGAATTGAGCTTTTTTTTCTGAAGAAAAATTGCTTCAATGGCCTCTTATTCTTGCAAAAGTCCAACCCCACCAGTGAGTACAAGTAACCAAACGGAGCTCTGGCACATATGTAAATATGATGTATTAACGTGCCATCTCTTAAAAGAAATTTAAACTAAATTTTTGACGCGTGTGATTCTTTATTAAATAGAGCAATTTTCTACTGCATTTACTGCAATGATAAAATAATAGGAGGGCCTGGCTCATCAGTGGTTAACCCTCCCAGCAGTTTCGCCAGTTTAATCTACCCTACCGTTGTAAATTTTCATTTGTCTGTTTTCCTTTTATACCTTCACTGACACTAAACTCTTGGAAAAGGTATTTTGTATCTGTAAATGCAAAGTCGAACTGCTTTTCACATGTGTAGATATGTGGTGCACTTACAGTAAAAAGCAGTCGCTAACTACCCACCATGATTATCATGGCATGTACTACGTGTAGTAGGAACATATATATATATTTTTTTAAATAGATATTTTGAAACAAAAAATATATATGTGTTATCAAAATTCGAAACTATTATAGACGCGTAAGATTCTTTTTAAAATAAAACAATTTCTACTGTCCTTACTGCAATGGAAAAATTAATGGGAGGGCCTGGCTTATCAGTGGTGAACCCTCCCAGCGGTTTCGCCAGTCTAATCTACCATACCGCTGTTATATTGCATTTTTGGAACTTCCTTTTATAGTGATACTGATGCTAGACTCTTGGAATGGGTATTTTAGATTAATTATGTACATAAACTTTAAGGACAGCAGAATTATATACAATTATAAATATATAATTTGCTTCGAGCAATCGCTCTTCCGCAAACACCAATAATTTTTCCATTGCAGTAAGGACAGTAGAAATTGTTTTATTTTAAAAAGAATCATACGCGTCTATAATAGTTTCTAATTTTAATAACAGATAGCGCGCTAATGTATTATAATATATGTGTTATATAATAAAATATATTATTTTTATATAGTACTAGCGGACGTACCCGGCTTCGCCCGGGTTTTACCCGAGTAAAGGTTTGTCTAACGAATCTCTCGATAAAGTGAACATTTTTTCCCGGTCCCTTGAAGAATACTCGATAAGTTGAATAAAATCAATATTAATTGGTTCCCTCGGTAATTGGAAGTTAAAGGAATAGTATCTTGCCTTGGAATTGTATCATTATTCTTGTCTCAAATAAATTGCCGTGTCATCCTGAATTTTGTCTTTCCTAATTTTCTACATTACAAAATCATCGTATCATCATGATCATATTTAGAGCAGATTGTTGAATTATAACAGATAAATTAGAATATTTATCTTGATTATTTTTAGGCGAAAAGTTATTTCAAAAATTTTATTTGCTAGAAACCTTCCCAGTACTATACTAAATAACTTCCCAAAGTTTCATGGCGTTCCAATGAGTGGTTTGGTCAGGCATAAAGGACACACACATACATTCATTTATATATATATAGTAAAACCTCCATGAGAGAACCCCTCTATAAAGGACAGTTTTCATTTACTAAATTACCATTTTTACTATTTAGCAACTCTCCAGTAAGAGGACACCTCTCCCTAAAGGACACTTTGGCTCTGCAATTAGATATTGTCCTTTACAGGGAGGTAGTTCCACTGTAATTTGAAAATAGTTCATTTTTATTAAATGTATTGCAACAAAAAATTATGATTGATCAACTTTAGCAAAGATTTTTTATAATATAATAACATATATAAAATTAATATTAGGAAAAAAATCTAACTTTTTCTAATTATTGTACCATACGATGTTGTCTATATGTTTTAACTTTAAACCTTTAAAGCTAATTTTTAATGGAAAACAATTTACTACCAACATAAATAGAAGGTTATAAGTTACACCCGTATTGAATTATTATATCTAAAGGCTGAACAAGATCTTCACTTATGGTGATTGGATTATAATGAGATTTTTGTAATCGGTTATTTATGTCTGGGAGTAATTGAGAATAATTTGTTGGGAATATTTACATAACCTTGAGTTTATTATGATAGGGGTAGTAAAAAATTAACTTCGCAATTTTAAATAATTACTCATCTACACACTCATGGATAAAACTTTATGAAATGGAAAATATTTTTTTTATTATTATCCCATTGTATAATTACACAAAGTCATGGAGACTATATTCATTGATCAAATTCACAATCTTGGTAGAGTTGGAATACAGGTCCTGTTTTGAGGCTTCCATACATTCCAACATTCCAAGAGGTGGTCTGGTGAGGTCTCTTTGGTCCTGTAGATGGTGCATTGTGGGAAGATCTTTACACCATCGTGGAAGAGGAGCAGTCGTGGAAAGTCGTTGATATCGCCGGTCGTCTATTTTTTTTTTATCTTTTAAGAGACAGAGGTAATTTTGTTCACACTTGGTTATCTCGTGTGTCTTCAATAAAGAGGTCATTGTGTATCAAATATATTTCACAGTTATTGTCTGAATCCTGATATACATGCTAAAAGGTACAACTTCCTTATGTTTTGTCCATGAATGTATATGAAACTATTGTGCACTATTGTTTTTTCTTCATTTATACAAATAAAATACTTCCTACTGTCCTTACTGTATTGGGAAAATATTGGGAGGGCCTGGCTCATCAATGGGGAACACTACCAGCAGTTTCGGCTCAGTTTAACCTAACAGATCGTTCTAGTATTGTAATAACCAGTTCCAGATAGCTTTATTAGGTGCCGCTCAAAAGAAGCAACCTAGTTCATAAATGTACAATCAATAGTTATGTACAGGGGTACATCATATATATATTTAAAATAAAATTTGCATATTCTGACCGCTCACATGAGCATTTTAGATGGTAGAGCGCCATCTAGGGGAACAAAATTAAACTATACGTTTATTTAGCTTGTTCCGTGATATTTGGCCAACCTAATTTCTTTATAAATCACGAAAAGGCAACCACGTACACGTTTCGGGCTGTTGGCCCTCGTCAGCGTGGTGTAGGCTGTACATCTACGATTAAAACTTTTGGTTCCTAGAGGGTTCGTGAGAAATTATGAAATGGGTATTTAAAGCCAAGTTTGCATAAACACGCTGTTCATGTAAAAAAAAATAGAAAGATGGTTAGGTGTTTATATTAAAAATAAAAAGGACATATCCTGACCCCTCACATGAACATTTAAAGTGGTAGAGCGCCATCTGTATCTTGTAAATACGGTCTGTGTGCAATCTGCTGTATGTTTCTATCAGTAGTGTGAGATAAATATCTGCCTAGATTTATGTTTCAACATTATTTATCTTTGTAAAACGACAATCATAAGCCGCATTATATTGTATTATAAATTAACAATTCTATATACAGTTACGAGCGTCATCATCTCTGTCGCCGTTTGCTTTTTTTTTTTTTTTTTTGGAATGGCGCTCTCCTATTGATTGGCTACGATGGCGCCGCCACTACGCGAGACACTTTGTTTTTGACTTTGCCCCCCCCCCCCCCCCCCCCACTCGCTTTTTGGTTTTGTAACTATTGTGTTGGAGTGGGTCGCTCCTTAAATAAATGCATATATTAGTTAATAACTAAATGGAATCCTCTCTTTCTTTTTCCCAAGCACATAGGCTATAGTTATTAACTAATATATGCATTTATTTAAGGCGCCAATTTATAATTGTAACAAATAGTATTTGAATCAAAACATTCAATCGGGTAAAACCCGGGCGTTGCCCGGGTCATTCGGCTAGTATATAATATTTACGAACGGAAAAATATGTCCAGGGTAGCCTAGTGGACATGGCATCTGCCCGGTAAGCGGAACACTGTGGGTTCGATTCCCATCTCTGGACACTTTTATTTTTCCGTTTATCATTACTCTTCACAATTCATCCTTTCATACCTCATCTCTAAGGTTAGAAATAGTCGTTATTTCTCCTTAAAAATAAATTTCGATTTTTCATTTAAAAGAAACCCATGCGGGATATTTTCCAATGTCGCTTTACAATCATAAGCCGCATTATAAATTATTTATCTTTCTTTCCATTTTCCATTGTTTTGCTTAAATTTATATAGAACTTGTTTTGTAATGGCCTTTTCTGCTTTCTTTTACGGAACCAGAAAGGAATTCTTGATTAAGGTATACAGTAAAACAACCTCCATGAGAGGACACTCACGCTAGCGGAGACCTCTTTCCACAAAGGACAGTTTTCATTGCCAAAATTATCATTTTTACTATTTAGCAACTCTCCAGTAAGAGGACACCACTCTCTAAAGTACACTTTAGCTCTGCAATTAGGTGTTGTCCTTTACAGGAAGGTAGTTATACTGCATTAACAAATCTATGGACAATAAGGAAGAAGACAAGGCTATAGTTATACATAAATTAATTATAAGACAATAAACGTGCCGGACACTGGAAATTTGTTTTATATTTTCAAAGAAACAGTTGTGCGTTTTAAATGCTTTCTTTTATCACATGTAGATGGCGCCTTATTTCCTTACAATAAATTTACCCCTATGTGTCTATCTATACTAACCATTCGACCGTTATGATCCGGGTTCGATTCCCGCATTGGACACCTTTTTCTGATAAAAAAAAAATTGCTCCAATGGCCTCCGATTCTTGCAAAAGTCCAACCCCACCAGCGAGTGCAAATAACCAAACGGGGCTCTGGCACATTTGTAAGTGCAAAATCGAACTGCTTTTCACATATATAGACATGCGGTGCACTTACAGTAAAAGCAGTCGCCTACTTCTACCCACCATGATTATCATGGCCTGTACCACGTGTACTAGGGATAAGCAAAAAAAAAAAAGCTAACCATTTCTCGGCAGAAAAGCTGAGAATATCGTTAGAAACTTTAAAAAAAGAAGACAAGAGGACAATCAGTGTTTGCTCTCCACCAAGACTGCTCCATATATCTGAATCACTTCTTGATACAATCCACCATTCAAGGTAAACGGATTGCGGATTTCGACAATTTAGAAAGAGGGAATCATATATCGTCGCAACTCTTTTTATTAACGCGATTAAGGAAGCTTTCGGGCTTGCCCTTCTTCAGCTAACTATAGTACACTATATCGCGTTAATAAAAAGAGTTGCGGCGATATATGATTCCCTCTTGACACATTCCACCATTGTTTGTTTCTCGTACCCCGGGACGTCAGTGTACGACGAAATTTTTTAATTAAAGGACACTAGCGCGCCACCTGATAAACGAAATGTAAACTACGAGTTATCGTATTTTTGACACCTATGATTGTTTTTAAAATAAATCAATTTTCTACTGCCCTTACTGTAATAATAAAATAATGGGAGGGCCTGGCTCATCAGTGGTGAACCCTCCCAGCGGTTTCGCCAGTTTAATCTATCATACCACTGTAATGATGCATTTTGTTGTTTTCTTTTTATACTGATACTGAAGCTGACCTCTTAGAAAAGGTATTTTAACTATGGACATAATTTTTGATGACAGTAGAAATAGATATAATTATAAATATATAATATGTTTAACAAATGAAAATATTAAGACGCGAATGTTTTTTTTTCAACAAATAAATCAAGCTTATACTGTCCTTACTGCGATGAAAAAAATATTGGGAGGGCTTGGCCCATCAGTGGTGAACCCTCCCAGCGGTTTCGCCAATTTAATCTACCAGACCGCGTCTTTAGAGCTCTAATAGTATATTGGATCATTCTGGTTATATGTGCTACACTCTGAAGGGTGGAATCTCAGAAATTGTGTTTAAGAAAACTATGGACATAAGCTTTTAGGACAGTAGTATTACTGCGCGAAAAACAATAAGAAGATGCCTCTTTTTTTTTATTCATTTGAATTTGAATTTTTAATTATTAAAATATATTATTACTAGCGGATGTGTACCCGGCTTCGCCCGGGTTTTATCCGAGTGAAAGTTTGCCTAACGAATATTATATATTATGAAGTATAATAAACAATGCTAAAGATTAGTTTTAATTATTAATCAAGATTGTGTGTGAATATGTGAGAAAGATGTAATATCGTTGTTGTTTTCTTGGCCGACTGTTTTACATATGGTGTTATCTTAAAATTGCTTGTTTTGAATATTTTTTTAGATTGAGTTGAATGAATTGCTGAATTTTTTTTTTTGTATTTATATATAAATAAAATTAACTCTGTTGAATTTTTTTGTATTTTATCGATAACAGCAAAGTTATGTATTTTAAAGTTAGGAAAAATATTTTGATGTTAAGCAAAACCTGCTCCATCTCGTTTTACATAAATGTTGAAAATTTGGTCGAAATTGATGCATTGTAACGAAAGTTTTTAGCGAACACCACTTATGAAATGTCCATTTATATAGAAGATATATAATATAAATGAGTTTTAAAAATTGTTAAAAAAAAAAATGCATCGGCCGGGAATCGAACCCTGGCCGCCCGCGTGGCAGGCGAGCATTCTACCACTGAACCACCGATGCTTTAAAAAAATCAAATTCATTTATCGTCGCGACCAGTGCTGCGCCCTAGCGGTAAAAGACTGGAACTAACGCTTTTTGGTTTTTTATTTTTTAAAAAAAGCACATTAACTTTTTTAGTTTTTTGAATAGCCTATATGTTAAACGAAATCTTCAGCTACCTACATGCGAAATTCCATAATGATTGAGTCAGTAGATTTTGCGTGATGCGATAACAAACATCGATTTCGCATTTCATTTTTATATATATAAAAAAAATAAAATAATAAACTAGCGAACCCGGCCACGCGTTGCTGTGGCTAAATTGGATTATTTTAAATTAACATTATACTAAACTATTCAGTACGGTAAAGGTAATATTCACTTATAAAGATAAAAGTGTTTTAGCCGATCTAAAGCCCTACGGGATTGAGAATGGAACGTTACGTAAAAATTTGAAAGTTATTTTTATATATATAGATAATATAGCCCTTCATTGTAATCATTGATTATAATCACTGCATTAATAAATGTCAGTGAAATCGTTTATATGTATTGTTTTTTGTTTTCGAGATATTCAAATAGAAAGATCTCACATTTTCTGTAAAATATTTATATATGCACAAACACAGAATATAATCACTATGTCTTAATTTCGCTATAATTATTGTTATAAATATTATTCTAAAATAATTCGCCAGAAATCGTCCTGATAGTATACTAAACAACTTTCCAAAGTTTCATGGCAAACATCTAAAATAAAATAATACTTTTAATACTTTGCTACAATAATAAAAAGAGGGGGGCTTAGGTGTTTAAAATGTAAAATGTGCTCTAAATAGTATTACATAGAGCCTTCATAACAAACATATTTAAAATAAACCAATCAAAATATAATAATGCCGTAAAAACAGAACGTGCTACAATAATATAAAAGAAATGAAAATAAAAAAAGACACCCACGCTGAGCCTCGAACCTAGGTTTGTTACAAATATTATTAAAAAATTGTTTATGTTAATTTTTATTTTAAAAAGCCTACATTTTAAATAAAATAATATTTTTAATAATTTGCTACAATAATATAAAAGAAATGAAAAAAAAAAAAAACACCCACGCTGAGCCTCGAACCTAGGTTGCGGGGGTACGAAGCTGTGTACCTAACCTATAGGCTAAGCTTGACGTTACAAATAAGCTCATGCGAGGCTATTTCAGGCCATATGTCTGCCGCGAGGGGGCGCTGATTGCGAGTGAATTTACGTTTTATTGTAAATAAAAATGCAACGAAAGGTTATTTCTAAAGAGTAATTAGCCATAAACCATCCCTAAGTATACTAAACATCTTCCCAAAGTTTCATCACGATTGGTTGAGCGATGTAGAAGATTATCACTGACGAACGGACGGACCAACGGACCAACAAACTTCCATTTTTATATATATAGATAAGGATAAGGATAAGGATTAAATATTTTATTTGAAAATTATGATCTGCGCGAAAGAGAAATTAGTTGAAAAAAATATGTAGAATCTCGAGTTTCAAGGGAACAAGAAACCAACCAATCTCTGGCGTTTGTAAGCAATATGTAAATAAGATATGTAATATACGAGGAGGATCACAATGGCAGAGATCCAACATGGCTGAATTCATTCAGCTGATGAGCTGAGAGTGTTAATTAACACACCAAAAAAAGCAAAGAAGAGAGAGTATGAGAGAAACTGGATACAGCGCCATCTGTCAACGGGTAAAGAAAACACATGGCGTTGATTAGCCCGCGGGATGTGGAGCGGCTGTTGTGTCTCAATTAAATGTTGTGGGGGATCTATACCACACTGCGGACTATGCAAATTTACATACTATGCAAATTTATATACGGCATTATACTCATATGACCTCTGATAAATCCCACACACACACTATATATTATTTACATATGTAATTTACGTATGTAAATAAAACTCACGTGCTCTCCTCCTATCAAAATCAAGGCATTTGTTTCAAATTTTATTTGAAAATCTTATTTGTGCAGTGGTGGCGTTTAGATTTTGTATCTCTCTAATTATACTTTATATTTGTCTCAATTCAAGACTACCTCAATAAACCATCAATATGAGTAATGACTTTCGTCTAGCAGTTCGTACTCGGTGGAGTTGTGGCCTAAACCGTTGGTTTTCAACCGCTACGACCCTGGATCGAAAACACCCGCATTGGGCACTTTTTCTAATTTAAAAAAAAAATGCTTCAATTGCTTCCGATTCTTGCAAAAGTCCAAGTCCAACAGCGAGTGAAAGTAACCAAACGGGGCTCTCTGTCACACTTGTAAGTATAAAAGTCGAACTGCGCATTTCACATGTGTAGACATTTGGTGCACTTACAGTGAAAGCAGTCGCTAACTACCCACCATGATTATCATGG